GGAGCCAGTGTAGAACATGTGTCTGCGGCTGGTGCAGCTGCATCCTCTCTGCTCTGGATGCCCAGCGCGGGGGGAGAAGGACGGCACAGGAGACCTTCCAAGTGCTGGCCCAAGCGAGGGGGCAGGGGGCGTCATTTGAGCTCCCTCCTCAGGTGCCAGAATGTTGTGGGCTGGCGATGCCCAGCGCGGGGGGAGAAGGACGGCACAGGAGACCTTCCAAGTGCTGGCCCAAGCGAGGGGGCAGGGGGCGTCATTTGAGCTCCCTCCTCAGGTGCCAGAATGTTGTGGGCTGGCCCTGCCCTTGAGTCTGGAAAGCTGACGGCGTATTGGGGAGCATTAGGGGGAGCGTGGCCAGCAGATCCAGGGAAGGGATCAGTCCCCTTTATTCGGCTCTGGGGTGGCCACATCTGGAGTGTTGTGGCCAGTTCTGGGCCCCCCACTACACAAAGGACGTGGGCGCATTGGAGAGGGTCCAGCGGGGGGGCGACCAAAATGATTGGGGGGCTGGAGCATGTGACCCACGAGCAGAGGCTGAGGGAGTTGGGTCTGTTCAGTCTGCAGAGGAGAAGAGCGAGGGGGGATTTGAGAGCAGCCTGCAGCTCCCTGAAGGGGGGTCCAGAGGCTGGCGAGAGGCTGTTCTCAGTGGGGGCGGATGCAGAACAAGGAGCAATGGGGCTGAAGTTGCAGTGGGGGAGGTCTAGGTTGGAGATTTATGTCGACACTAGCCCCCAGTTCGAACTAGGGAGGCTCATGAGGGCGACTGAAATTGCAAATGAAGCCTGGGATTTAAATATCCCGCGCTTCATTAGCATGTTCCCGGCCGGTCGCCATTTTGGAAATTGACTAGCCCGGAAGAACTGCCCGCGGCAGAGAAGGGCGATTCCGAAATGAACCCCCTCCTTCGAGTGACCAGTTTAACCCTCATCCCATGGTTTGAGGACGGCACCTAGTCTTCATCTGGCGCTCTGAGTCAACGGGGGGCCCTTGGACAGGAGGTTTCACTAGGGGGCTAGTGTAGACGTACCCTGGGAGGGTGGGAAGCCCTGGGCTGGGTTCCCGAGGGAGGGGTGAAGTCTCCATCCCTAGAGGTGTTTCCGTCCTGGCTGGACCATGACCTGGCTGGGATGATTGAGTCGGGGTCGCTCCTGCTTTGGGCAGGGGGCTGGACTCAATGACTCCTGAGGGCTCTGCCTGCCTCAGGCATCTGTGGCTCTATGACTCCAGGTGATGGAGACTCCACCGCTGTGGGTTCAAAGTTTGTGCCTTATTTCTAGGCCGAAGGACCCTCGCTGTGGCTCCCAGCACTTGGGTCCCCTCGGGCCTCGTTCGGTTAGAGCAGCGTCTGCTCTTGGGAATCTCTTCCCCACGCGTCACTCGGAGACGCCCCTCGGCCAGGCTGAGGGCCTTGGGTCACCCGCCTCGCTCTTTCCTGACCCTCGCGGGTCTGCCGGATGGCGTCCCCCTTGGAGCAGGCCCTTGGCATGCTGGTTGCCAAGGAGGGCGACCGGTACAAGCTGAGGAAGGCGGAGATGAAGGAGCTGCTGCTCACGGAGATGCCCAGCTTTGTGGGGGTAAGTTAAGGGAGATGGGCGCGGGGGGCCCCTAAGGCTGGGCCCGGAGGCTCAGCCTGGCCCGATGGCGGCTGAGCAGACACGCAGCCGGTGTGGTTCCCAAATAACAATAGCGGCCGATGGGGCATGTGTTTCCGTCGCTCCCAAAGCACTTTGCAAAGGATCCTCTGGGGAAACTGAGTCACGGGCAGGCCACTTCCATAAGCGCCCGCTGGCGGGAGCCAGGAACAGAACCCAGCTGGCCTGGCACCCGGCTCTGCGCTGTGACCCCTGCGCGCTCCTCCCTCGTGACCGGGGTCCCGCCTCTCCCCGCTGCAGGAGCAGGTGGACGAAAGCGGCCTGCAGCAGCTGATGAGGAACCTGGACGCCGACGGGGACGCGGAGCTGGATTTCCAGGAGTACGCCGTGTTCCTGGCCCTCGCGGCCGAGCTGTGCGACGAGTTCTTCCGGGAGTGCGCCGACGAGAGGAACCGCAAAGTCTGAGTCCGGCGCGGCCGCGGGGCGCACAATAAAGGGCTGGAGCCGGACGTGTCTGTTGTGTCTTGTGAGTGGGGGGCTGGGGTCAGGGCCCCTCCCCCCCCCCCCC